AATATCTGTCTTGAGATGCATTTCCATTCGCTTGTTTAGCATCTCCGCTGGCTTGTGAGACAAGCACCTCAAACATATAAAGTCTGAAATAGAAGTAATGACCCTCTATGGTCTCTTTTTCTGTTGTTCTCAATGAGTTCCTTGTTTTTATTTACCTTTTTCTGCTCCTTGCACCACTGGACATTCCCGCATTCAGATTCAGAGTGTCAGTGATCGTTGACGCCTCCTTTTCCTTAAAAAAACTACATAATACCTTCATCTGCCAAGTCCATGTCTGTTTTTCCTTTATTCCATCGTTTGCATCAGATCCTTGTTTTTCATTCGCATTGCCATAAGCCCAGTTCAGATCTCTTTCAAATCATACCTAGAATATTCTGCCGCCCTCCTGATTGGACTCCCTTACTTTGCAACCCACTCTACACCTCATGAAGTATGAAGTACCACTGCAGTTCTTTAAATCCTTAACTCAGAAACCTTTAGCAACTCCTGCATTGCCTAGCAAATAAAATCTATCCTCTTGGCTAGCATTTAAGCCCTCCCACCGTCTGCCACATCCTGACTTTCTAGCCATATCTCTCACTATACTTAACACAAACGCTGTGTTCTGATCAGCCTCAGTTATTCACCATTCCCTGATAGTGTGACTACTAAATTGAAAACTAATTCAGACCTGGATGTTAACTGTAATTATGAATGTTGTTCAGGTCAAAAGTTAAGACTAACTAGAATTGTGACAACTTGTGCCTTTTTAAATCTCAGTCTTCAGTTTTGGACTATCTTTTGGCTCTAAAGTTGCCTGTAAGTTTATTAGTCTTTTTAAAATTTTGTTTCTAGGACTCTTGGTTCTTCTAGAAAATGTTTTGGGATTAATCTAAAAACTTGTAAAACTTCTTTCTGTAATTTATATAAATTAGCCTTATTTTTTGTTTCTTACTCTTATTTTACCATTTAAATAAAAAGTTGAAGAAATCTTGATTATGAAATTAATTTATTTTTGTTCCAACAGCGATATTGTGAGGAAGATTGATCAGTCTGAATTTGAAGGTTTTGAGTATATCAATCCTCTTTTGATGTCTGCAGAAGAATGCGTCTGATCGTCATTTCTCAACTATGCATTTTGCTTGTGTTGCCATTTAATGCATGGAAAACTCATTACCAACCTGGATATAATGAACCATTTGATATTTGCCAGCTACAAAAAAACACTGAATATCTTGTATCGTCGACTATAAGAGTCAATTATTACATATAATTTTATTTTAAAAAATTGAGGCTAGTTTCCAGACATTTGTGTCAAAATCTAGTTATACTGGTAATCTAGCAGCCTACTGATGAGTAACATAGTGGGCTTTTTCCTACTTACCACTGTTTTTAAAAAGACTATCTGTTGCATTAAGGCACATGGTGGGATTACACCATAAGCCTCCCATGATTTTTGTCATTCTTCCATAAGTCATTGAAGTATTTAATTTTGGAATAAAAGAATTCAAAATATAGCAACTTATTATATTACCTTGTTAGTTTCTGAATTCTTTGTGTTTAAAAATTCAGCTTTAAATTTTATCATTGCTTTGGATGATAATTACTGATTTTTAAGGCAACAGTTATTAAATTGATTGGTAATAAAAAGTATTACTTGCTTAGAATTGGGGAAAACACATTCTTCTTATGGAAAAAATTAGGCACATTTTCTCAAGAATCAGATTCCAAATCATTAGCTGTTTTTGAAATACTGATACAAGTGAGTTCTTTAATATATTAAGGGGTTAGCTTCTGAGCTAGTCCCTTCAGCCAGAACTTTAACTGGAATGTTCACAAACGTAGTTCAGAGGATCCAGGATGTAGCTGAATGAAAAATTTCTCAGTATATAGAGAGGAAAAAATAGAAATTTAAAGTAGATACAAAAAAGTGCAATGGTAATATTTATTTCTTATTGGAAAGTAAATCTCACAGTTGCTTTTTGTGATTTGATTAAATAAGGAGGCACTTATTACCAAACTTGTAAAAGCATTCCATTTATCCAGTGGAGACAGAATATAAACTGTTTTCCCTTATAATTTAGTATACAGGAAAAGAATTTATCTTCCAAACAATGTATTGAACATGCTTACTTCCTACCCAAAAACACGTTATCTGTACTTTTGGATCCTGTTTATGGAGTCTTCAGTGAAATCCATGAAAAATAATAAACAGGAATAAAAGTTCAAAACACATATACATAGTCGTGCACATCTCAGTTCCAACTCCTTAAGTGAGTTTTTGTTAAGTAGGTAACACATGTAATACAGAATACAATACATTTCAGAGGCAGATTTCTTCAGATTGTGTTTCATTAATATTAGTGTTTAGCAATGTATTTAAAGGATGCCAGAGATAGCATCCTTTTGTTGTTTATTTTAAATACTTTTTTATGAGAGGGACTTAAAAAATAACCATAATCATCTACATTACTTATAATTGCCCAATGTTAGTAAAATTTAATTTTGGGGAAAGTGATCAAGTTTTCAGCTTAGAATGATTTAAAATTTGTAGGCATTTAATAAAATATCTTTTTTTTTTTTAATGCTACATTTCATTAGTAATTTTCCCAAAGTTTCTGGCCATGCACACTTTTTTAAAAAAAAGATTTTTTAATTTTTATTTTGTATTTTAGAGAGAGGAAGGAAGAAAGAGAGAGAGAGAGAAACATTGATGTGAGAGAGAAACACTGATCGGTTGCTTCCCTTACGTGCCCCAACTGGGAATCGAACCCACCACCTTTTGGTGCAGAGGACGACACTCCAACCAACTGAGCCACACCAGCCAGTTGTACTCTTTTCTTTAAATAATTAAGTCTGAAAGCAATGAGAACCTCAAAAGAAAATGTTTATATACCTCCACATGTTTAAGAGGTAGATATGTTTCTCTTAATGCCTGAAATTTGTTTTTTTGAAAAAGCAGTATTCACTTCAAATCATAAACTTACAGAAAATTCTGACATGTCAGAAATATGTTTATGATCTTGCTTTTAAGTGGTGCTGTTTCCCCTAGGGCATTAGTTCTAAAATTTTAGAATGCGGAATAAGTTTGTTTAAAAGCACAATACTGGGCCTGCCTAAGAATTCCTTGAGTCTCTGAACCACATTTTGAGAAAACTTTGAGTTATCTTTTATTTTGTCCTGTAGTTAGAGTCTTTATGGTAAAGCGTTTTGATAGGGGTAGGCAGTGAGTTATCATTTTATCTACTATTTTAAATAAATTTTGAACTAATGACTTCTTCAAGTTAGATATCATCTCAAAAAAATTCCATCAGTTTTCTATAAATGTTGCAAACGGTGAACATTTTTCTGTGATGAGGTTTTAAGCATTATTCAGGGCGGTCTTTTGTTTTTAAGTCTTTTTTAAAAAACAAATGAGATTTACTGTGTATATTTTATACAGAATTGCATTACAAGTATGTTTTTAATTGTGTTCTGTTTTTTGTAGTCTTTAAGTGCCATGCCAATTCTTTTTATATTATATAAAGTTCTCTGAAAATACTCACCAGGGGGAAAAGGCAGTTGACAGTCAGGCTGGTAGGAGTTTTGGTGTTTTAAGAAAAAATGTATTTTGTGTAAGCATGTGGCCAGGTCATTTTATGTGTGTGCAGCCTGAATTGGCTATCAGGAATTTGACTTTATGCATTTACTTTTCAAATTTTGTTTTGCTTTTGCCATATGGAAGACTGCCTTGGTCATCATAATGTAGTCTGTATTTGTGTACCTTTTTTTTTTTTACTTTAAAATCTTTAAATAAAATGTTTAATACCCATCAAGATTGGAACATTTTTAATTATGTAACATAACAGAAATTGGCTTAAAGTACATCAAAATTTGTTCTAAAAGAAAAATGAGAATTTTAGGGTTTGGAATTTTGCTGTATTTCAAACAGCATTCTGGTAGTACTGATGCCATATTGTAGACATTCACTCATAAAATATTCAGTATAGCTTTATTTTTTATTTTTTGTTAAAGAATAGTTTATTGATTTTTACAGCAAGAAGAATAGAGAAGAGAGAAATATTTATGTGAGCAGAACATTGTTGGGCTCCCTCCTGCACCCCCCCCTATTGGGGATCGAGTCTGCAGCCTGGGCATGCGCCCCAACCAAGAACCAAACCAGCAACCTTTTGGTGCATGGATGACACCCAACCAACTGAGCCAAACTGACCAGGGCAAAGTATTCAATATATTTTTTAACTTGCCCATCTCTGCATCTCTTTTATTAGAAAACAAATTAGTAAAAAATCAGCTGAACACAGAGCATTTTAACTAGTTATAAAACTTTTTTTTTTTTTAATACATCTTTATTGATTTCAGAGAGAGGAAAGGAGAGAGAGAGAGAGAGAGAGAGAAACATCAGTGATGAGAGAGTCATTGATGGAGCCCACAACTGGGGCATGTGCCTTGACCGGGAATTGAACCCCGATCGCCTGGATCCCAGGTCGACGCCCAACCGCTGAGCCACGCCCGGCCGGGCACTAGTTATAAAACTGAAGGAAATTTGAACAGATTCAGAACAGAACAGATTATTCCCAAATTACATGCTACAGTTGTAGCTTAGTGTCCATATATAAATATGAGCCTGGTTTCCCACGTTTATCACCCTATTTAGAGTAACTTAATGTTTCCCTTCACAAGAAGAACGAAATTTTAAGTGCCTTTACTTTTTTCTTAATTGACTTGTCAGAGAGCGAGGGCCTGTGTAATAAAACCACCAGATTTCCTGCGTCTGTTATTTTATCCTAAGTTCAACTCTTGCTCAAAATGGAGTTAAAGGCAGTATTATTAAAGTTCTGTCCTATCCCCTGTACCAAATCATAAATTTGGTTGTTTTCTTTGAGTTAGTAAAAATCCAGAAAGAGTCCATAGAGGAATTTGAAGCTTTAGGGAAATTTTGCATTAGACAGTTAATCACTGGGGCAACCAACCTGTTTCTCCCTGAAAAGTAAAGCCAGTCTCCCTTCTTTAAAATTCAACAGCATGTTTTCTGGACAACATCCAACAGTTAGCCATTTGCAGTATTTGATGGTCTCCCTTTGTAGATTTACCTTTCTCTGCTCTAGGACTTCAGATAGTCTGAACAGATTGTACTCAGAGTCTATTGTTCTAGAATATACTTGGAATTTACTATGCATGGTGCTAAATACGGCTAATAAAAAGACAAAACCTCTACCCTTGACATTCGAGATGGAAAACATACTAAGGAAGATGTTTGTCTTCACAACAAATAGTCCAGTGATAAAACCGAGTAAATACAATAAAATATACATTTATGTGGTCATGAGGGATTACCAGCTTCACCAATAAAACCAGTTTTACTTGGCATATGTAATTGATCCATGCTAGACATTTTTCAAGTTTATGGTAGATTCCGCAAAGCTTTCAGAATTCAAATATATAATAATAAAATCTTAAGTGCCTGTGTGTGTGTGTGTGTGTATATAAAAGATTATTTTTGGCTTTTAAACTCAGAAATATGAATTGGATTTTACATGGAAATGGGAGAGAAAATTCTCCAATGTTTAGGCTTAGATTAGATTTTGTACAATCAATCTCTGAAATTTATAATTAAAATGAATCCAGCTCAGAATTTGAGAGTGATTTTTGGATATGAAATGTGGCAACACAGTTCACCTCCATGTAGCAATTTGTGCCTTGCAGGCATAACAGTCTTTTTATACCAATTATGGTAGAAAATGAAATTATAAGTATCTAAGAATTAAGTGGCTGTTTAATGTGACCTTTCACAGTATATCTGAAAATTATAACTTAAGACAGATGGATTCACTGGAATCAAGAGCTTTATTTAAGTTTTCATTGACAATTTAGCTAGTCAGAAGCAAATCCTAATTGTGTAAGACAGAACCCATGGAAAGTCTCTTTGAAAAAGAGAAAAGGTCTAATTGAAGAAATTAGATGCTTTGGGTTTTTTCCATAAAAGGGAAGTGCTGGGTTTCTAGAGGTGGTGCCACGTAACCAGATTTCAGACTTCCATGATATAAACTGTCTGCAGTGTGGGCGACTCTCCTTGGTGACATTTAAAATTATTCACAATATATTTAGGAGTAAAATCATGGGAAGGTAATAAGTACAAGAGCCTAATTCTAACACTTCTTATGGCCCTAAGAAAACTTTTTTCTAGGAACTCTAGGTTTTTATTTAAAAGTCAGATTTTAAATGTTAAGGATTGTGAAAGGTATGTGCTTTTTTGAGCAGTTTGACTCAAGTTTACCCAGCTTTGAAACAATATTTTAATGAGGAAATCTGAATCAGTGTGCCAAAGGCTTGATGTTTTGCTAAATTATTCTTTATGTTTAAAATTTTAATTCATGTATTTATTGGAGGCTTTACCATGTTGTCTAGAACTATACTGATTCTGCAGAATTTAGAAAAGTTTTATCATAAGGAATTTTTTGTGATGTAAGGAATAAATTTATTCTAGGGAAGTTGGCTTAAGTTTCGAACAAAAGTCTGTGTTTATGTTACCCTTTAGGTAGGGGATATATCCAGTGATTAAAATAAAAATTAACATTCTCCCCCAAGTAGTGAGGTCTGAGAAATATGGAAATGGGGGAGAGAGTAATGCATCTGGTTCTCTCAGAATGGTGACTCTATCTGCTTCGCCACCACCAGGGGCCAGGCTTGCTGCAATGAAGGTCAGAGTTGCCAGCACCCTGGTCCTCCAGGAGGCAGTATATTCACGAGAGGCCACTTACCAAAAGGTTCTAAGATTTTACCAGTATGATCATACGTATTTTGATTTTACAGAACTATTTTTTTTAATTCCAAAGATTTACTGATTTTTTTATTGTTGATTTTACAGAACTACTAAAAGAAAATATACCATTTGGATTGTTCTTCT